ATTCCCACTCTTTTGCAGGCTGTACGCAATGGTCACATTTTGTTTTTCTAGCAATATTTTAAAAGATTTCATTTACTTTTATTTTATGTGTTTGAGTATTGCTTACCTGTATGTCTGTGCACCATGTGTGTGCCTGATACCCGAGAGTCCAGAAAAGGATGTTGAATCCCCTGGAACTGGAGTTAAGGACAGTTGTTAGCTGCCATGTGGGTGATGGGAACTGAACACGGATCCTCTGTAAGAGTAGCCAGGGCTCTTAACCACTGACCCCTGAGCTACCTCCCTAGGTCCTCTTACAGCAATCTTCTGGGCTCTAACTCATCAAGTACCACTGGACAGATGAAAAACAGAGGTGTTGAGAGGGTAAAAGTTTGCTCAAGGTCAGAGGATAGCCATGAAATGACAGCACTTTAACATCACCTGGAGTCTTAATAGTAGGTCAGATCTCAGTGTCCAACCCAGACCTACTGACTGAGTAGGTAGAGTATTCGCTATAACATCAGTTATTCTGTCCATCTCCAGGGTTTCTCTCTCTCTCTCTCTCTCTCTCTCTCTCTCTCTCTCTCTCTCGTCATTTGTAGCCCATGATGACCTCAAAGGTTCCATATCCCAAGTGCTGAGATTACAGGCCTGCATTCCCACACCCAGTTTATGTGGGTTTGGGGATTGAACCTAGAGCTTCAGGCATACTCTTTAAGGACACTACAAGCTAAGCTATATCCCCAGCCCAATTGGAGTCTCTAGTTAGTGCTGGAATTGGTCATGAGGGTTGGGAAAAGGTCAATGAGGGATAGAGGCTAGGCTTGGTGAGGGGAAAAGGGTAGCCTCTGTCAAACCTTACCCTAGTACCTCTCATCTGCACCTCAGCACCCAGAAGTCCCACACTTGCACACCAGCTCCCCATACCCCTTTCTCCCTGCTGGAACCTGGCCCACGGTAACCCTTATGTCCCACCTGCATCATGCTCCCTGTACCTCACCTCTTCCCAGCAAGTGAGTTCTCGGTCTTGGAGGCCAATTGTCCACATGTCGTTCAACCTGTATCAGGACAGAGAGGTCAGGCTCCTTTGGCTCTGAGCCTGGCTGAGAGGGATGGCTCCAGGGAAGAACCACTTGCCACATGGGTCAGGGGACAATTTCAGGGAGAGAAGATACAATTACATTAAGACCCGTACCCTGGCCCTCCATGCTTCTCACATCCTGCCTCCAGATTCTCTTCCTAGCCTACAGGCTTATACATGACACCTGGGGCAATGAGGCAAGGCCAGCCACTTCCTCAGTTGTGTCCCTGGGGCAGGGCAAAGATGATGTGTAAGTAAAACCCACCCCTAGCACTGTGCCATTATTAATTTCTACAAAGCTGAACTTTGGAATGAGCATGCTGTCCTTTGGTTATCAGACAAACACAACAAAGCTAATTCTAATGCCACAGGTAGGAACCCAGGGCTAGAGTTGAGCTGGGATGCTTCCTGCCTGTAGGCCCTTCCTTGTAGTTCCAAGTATCCTCATCTGAGAAAATCAAGGGGCTATAGGATTGGCTGGGGGCTCCTCCATTCATGGCCTCACCTCCATTTTCCTCTACACTCCCTCCCAAGAAACCCTCAGATTGGTGCTCAAACCTACCAGAGTAACCCACCCCAGCCTGAGCCCTCAGGTGCCAAGACAGCTTATTCTGCATCTGAGCACATACAGAGGTAGGGTACATGGCCAGTCACCCCCTACCTGGCATTGCCATCATAGCCCGCAAAGATCCATAGCTTGTCACTGTACACTGTGGCCCCATGGGCTGACCTGGCAACCGGCAACCTGGAACACAAAGGAAAACACAATGAAGGAGGTCATCAGAGCAGACTGAAGCATGCAGCCATGTGTTGGGCAGCTAGGGCCACAGCTACCTGACACTGGAGCCCAGGGTAGTACTAGGACACTGGGAACAAGCAACAGCATAAGAGGCTTAGGCAGTAGATGTATAAAAACTTCAGATGTTGAAGCCAGGAATGATGTTTATGCCTGTATATCCTGGTACTAGGAAGATGGAGGAAAGAGGATCAGAAGTTCAAGGCCAGTCTTGGCTGTATAGTAAGTTTGAGGTCAGCAGGACTGTGTAAGACCCTGACTCAAAACAACAACAGCGAAACAAAAAGGGCTGGGGACATAACTCAGTTGTAGGGTGCTTTCCTAGTATACACCAAGTCCCCATGCCTATAATCCCAGCATTCAGGAGGTAGAGGAAGGAGGATCAGAAATTCAAGGTCATCCTCAGCTATACAAGCAAGTTCCAAGTCAGCCTGGTTTACATAAGATCCTGTCTTAAAAAAAGAGATGGGGAAAAAAAAAATCAAATATAGACCTGGGAATATAGCTCAGGAATACAGCATTTACTTAGAATGTACAGGGTCCTGGGTTCTAGACCCAGTGCTGAGGAAGGAAAAAATAAAAACAAAAACAGAAAGATTCAAAGATTCAGCTGACCATACAGGCATATAGGCACAGCACCCTCCCTCAGCTGCTACCAAAGTAGAGCAGCGCCTCTGGGTCTCTTATGAAAAAAGGGAATTTAAACCCAGGAACAGGTTGTAGGTAACTGGAAGTTATTGCCAACTCCTGGCTTCTTGCCTGCTGTATGCCCTTAGGACTCACCCAGCCCCAGGGTCCCCACCTTAAATGTGGCAGGAGGTACAGTCCAAGCCCATGGCTAACCAGGCCTTACATAGTCTCAAGATATTCAGCAAAATTTCTTACCGTCCTTCTATCTTCCATTCGGTCCACTGGCCAGTTGCAAACTTGTATTCAAAAAGGTCATTTTTATTCTTCAAGTTAGAATTGGAATAAATATCTCCAGTATAGCCTCCTGGGAAGAGAGAGTAAAAGCAATGTTATATCTGGGGCATGAATGCAGTCCTTAAAGGTGGGAGCTGGGTAGAATCTGGCCCTAATTAACATGTACAAATCCCCAGGCACCAACTTGCCCACCCACTCGCCTGTGTCCTGGGCCATGAGGACCCAGAGATGAGCAGACCTTTGTTTCCTGCTCCAGCCATCAAAGAGTAGACAGCCCAACCCCATGAATTCAGGACATTATGAAAAGGCATTCCCCTCAAGCCAGGGATTCAAAGTGTTCCAGTAGACAAAACTGTTGGGGCAGAGAACACCTGACCAGCACAACACATGACTCATAGTGGGTAGAAGATGGCAGGAGGCAGGAACTATGTACGTCCAGGCGAGTAAGAGGCTACTTACCAAATACAAACATGCTGCTTCCGTATACAACAGCTGAGTGGTGGTAGCGTGGGGCTGGTGGGGTGCCAGTGGTAAAGGCTCTAGAAAGGCATGGGGTGAAGTCAATAGGGGTCAGCCAGGCAGTCCACATCCCCACAGAATGGTCCGTGGTGCTCCAAGCTTTTATTTTTTTTTCTCCCTTCCCTTCTCCTTTCTATCCCCTTTCACTTTCCTCCCTCCCTCTCTCTCCCCTACCTACCACCCTTCCCTCCTTTTCTTTCCAAGACAGGGTGTTGCTAAGCAGCTCAGGCTGGCATGTAACTCACTATGCTATAATGCTATGTAGTCTAGGTTGGCCTCCAATTTATAATCCTCCCCATCTCAGCCTCCTGAATACTTGGATGATAGGCATGTGCCACCATGACTACAGTCATTTATTAATTCTTTCAGACAGGATCTCATTATGGTACAGTACCCAAACTGGCTTCAAACTTACAGGTTCAAGCAATCCTCCACCTCAGTCTCCCAAATAGCTGGGATAATAGGTGTATGCTAGGGTGCCCAGCATTCTTTTACTTCAGCATTTCAAAGGGGACATTCCTCTCATTATAGAAACTCTTACATAATCCTATCCCTGGAGGGCCTTGCTCTGTACCTTTCTACCCGACCCCTCTAGGAGGCATCTCTCTGCCTTTGGGGGGATTTTTTTAATAGAATCGTGGTAGATATTTTGTAATTTGCTTTTTCTTCTTTTTCTTTTTTTGTCTTTTTGAGACAGGGTCTCCCTGTAGCCCCAGCTGTCCTGGAACTCACTATGTAGACCAAGCTGGTCTTGAACTCACAGAGATCCACCTGCTTCTGCCTCCCAAGTGCTGGGATTAAAGGTGTGCGCCATCACGCCCGGCTGCTTTTTCTTTCTTTTTTTAAATATTTTATTATTTTTATTTTATGTGTATGAGTGTATTGCCTGCATGTATGTGAGTACACCCGTGTTGTGCAATGCTGTGGAGGTCAGAACGGCTTTGGATTCTCCTGGAACTGGAGTTAAGGAAACTTACAAAAGCAGTCAGTGCTCCTAACTACTCAGCCATCTCTCCAGCCCCTTGTAATTTGCTTTTTCAACCGTGCAACTGAATGTGATCGATAGAACATGATTTGGTCCTGGTCTCCCAAGTGCTGGGATTACAAGCATACACCACTATGTTCAGCTTAAGCCTTTTATTTTTGTTTGTTTTTTGAGACAGAGTCTTGCTATGTAACCCAGGCTGGCCTCAAATTTGCATCACTCCTGCTTGCCTCCCAAGCACTAGACTATTAGGTGAGTACCACCACCACACTTGGCTATATGTAAATTAAAAAAAAAAAATTACAGTGTTGGATATTGAATCCAGAACCTTGTGCATGTTAAGCAAGGACTGTATCGCTGAACTACATTCCCAGACTTTGTTTTTTAGGGTTTTTAAAAAAAATATTTATTTATGGCTGGGTGTGGTGGTGCACACCTTTAATCCCAGCACTTGGGAGGCAGAGGCAGGAGGATCTTTGTGAGTTCGAGGCCAGCCTGGTCTACATAGTGAGTTCCAGGACAGCTGGGGCTGGGTATCAAACCTGTGTCTTCCACAAGAGCAACCAGTACTCTTAACCACTGAAGCATCCCTCTAGACCCCAGACTTTGTTTTGTTTTTTGGTGTTTTTGAGACAGGGTCTCCCTGTAGCACCAGCTGGCCTGGAACTTACTATGTAGACCAGGCTGGCCCTGAACTCACAGAGATCCACCTGCCTCAGCTTCCCTAGTGCTGGGATTAAGGGCATGCGCCGCCACATCCAGTTTTGGATTTTGGATTTTTAAGGTGGAGTCTTGATATGTAACTCAGGCTATCCTTTAACCTTAAATCTTCCTGCCTCACCAGGCGTGGTGGTGCACACCTTTAGTCCTAGCAATTGGGAAGCAGAGGCAGGCAATCTCTGTGAATTCAAGGCCAGCCTGGTCTACATAGTGAGTTCCAGGACAGCTGGGGCTACAGGGAGACCCTGTCTCAAAAAAAAAAGGGGGGTGGGGCTGGAGAGATGGCTCGGCGGTTAAGAACACTGGTTGTTCTAGCCAATGCACGCATACACATAAAATAAAAATAATAAAAATTTTTTAAAAAGCAAAATCCACCTCCCTCTGCTTCCCGGGGCCTGCATGACCCACAGGCCTCTCTCTGACCAGCCAGCCTCTCTCTCCAGGATAAGTTGATCACAGTCCATCCCACCCTCAGGGCCTTGACTTCCCCGGCCTCATTCACCCTCCCATCTCCCCCGACCATCTCTCCTCCTAGCCTGGGACCTGTCCCATTCCTTGTCTTGGTACCCCAGACACCTGGGGAACCACCACTGGGAAAATGAACAGCAGACCCCAACCTTATCTAAAGAAATATTGGCAACTAATTGCTGCTAGATGAGGAAGAGCTGATCTTACTAAAATAAGGAGCTCTAGATAGGCTGACTAGGTTCAACAGATGGACAAGCACTGGAGAACGGCTGGGGGGAACCAACAACACAGTGGACAGTAACAGGGATGACAGAGTATATGGGCTCCAGCTGGGGCGGGGGTTAATGGGAGGGGGCCATTTGGGAAGTGGGTATATAAATGAAGAAGATTAAGTGGGATGTTCTGTATGAGATACACTCAAAAAAATCAACATATTAAAAAGAAAAGATATTTGAGGAGGAAACATAAAAACTGACTACATGTTAATTAGTCGAGGTGATAACATTACCATTGAAATCTACCTGATGACTTTATATCCATACTCAAGTGCCAAGGATCTGAGTGTAACTGACTGTGACTAGTAATAATCAGATACATAGAGATTAGAGATGCATGTTCAAACATCTAAGTGTTAGTTGCATTAAAAATGGGTGTTTCTGTATGAAACACTATATTTTAAAATGAAATGGAGATCTTTTTTAAAGGGTAGGGAGATGAATCTGTACTATTTTTCTTACCAAACATAGAAGAATATGTATTATACAAACAAGAAGTTTTATGTGCTAATACATCCTTTGAGAGTGATGAGGAATTAAAATTAACCTACATAAAATTAACCCACATCAAGAAGACTTAAAGCATCAGAGTATGGGCTTTTAGACTAATGATTATGCTTAATAGAAATACATATTTTTTCTTTTTCAGTCTTTTTGAGACAGGGTCTCCCTATAGCCCCAGCTGTCCAGGAACTCACTATGTAGACCAGGCTGACATCGAACTCACAAAGATCCGCCTGCCTCTGCCTCCCTAGTGCTGGGATTAAAGGCATGCGCCACCACACCTGGCGGAGATCTTTTTTAAAGGTTAAAAACTCATTCAATTTTATGTCTTACAGGGCTTATACTGAGTTCAATATTGTATAACTGTATTAATTCAACTGTGAACCTAGAAGCTTACAGCCACCTGTGAAAGAGATGTACTCTTGCTCTGGAGTGTGTTACTGGATATATTAATGCTGTAATGAAATGCTTCTTCTAATCATATAGTTATTAAAAATTTTTTAAGAAAAGCAAAATCTTCCTGCCTCAACCTCTGAGTGCTAATATTACAGGTATATACCACCATACTCACCTGACTTAAGCGATTTTTGACAAAGACTATTAAGTCTTCCAAGAGATTCTCACTTACTTTTATGCGTTTGTTATTTTGTGTGTGTGTGTGTGTGAGATGTGTGTGTGTGAGATGTGTGTGGAGACGTGCCACAGAGCACATGTGGAGGTCAGAAGACAACTTTGAGAAGTCAGTTCTCTCTTTCCACATTTGACTTCTAAGGATTGAAATTAAGTCATCAGGCTTGCACAGTAAGTGCCTTTACCTGTTGAGCCATGATTCTGGTCATTCAAAGTGATTTTTAAAGGTAATTGATGTCTAGGGCTAGAGGTAGAGTGCTTGCCTAGCATGCACAAAGCCCCAGGTTAGATGCTCAGCACTGCATAAACCAGACACAGTGACAAATGCCTACAATCCCAGCATTCAGGTGGTAGAGACAGGAGGCTAAGAAGTTTGGGTTCATCCTTATCTACACAGCAAGTTCAAGATCATCCTAAGATACATAAGACCCTGTCTAAGGGCCTGTGGACATAGTTCAGAGGTAGTATGCATAAACAAGTGCTGGTATGGTTTTTATACCTAGCACTGAAAAAAGAAATAAATGAATTGATAGCAGTCATAGTATATGATCAAGTATGAGAAGCTGGGCATGGTGGCGCATGCCTTTGGTCCCAGCACTTGGGAGGCAGAAGCAAGTGGATCTCTGTGAGATCGAGGCCAGCCTGATCTACATAGTGAGTTACAGGCCAGCTAGGGTACAGGGAGACTGTCTCAAAAAGATGTTTTAAAAAAACTCGGGAGGCAGAGGCAGGCGGATCTCTGCAAGGCCAGCCTGGTCTACACAGTGAGTTCCAGGACAGCTGGGGCTACAGGGAGACCCTGTCTCAAAAAGACCCCGCCCCCAAGAAAAAGAAAAAAAAGAAGTGTGAGGAGCTAGAGAGGCAGGTCTACTCTTGCAGAGGACCTGGGTTCATTTTCCAGCACCCACATGATGGCTCACAACCTTTTATAACTCCAGTTCCATGGGATTTGATGCCTTCTGGCCTCTGAGGGCACTGTACATACATGGTGCACGATTATAAATGCCAGCCAAACACTCAGACACATAAAATACAAATAATGTTTTAAAAAATCAATTGTGAGAAAATGACATCTAGAATACTAGGCAGAGATTGGGTGATGCTAAGTGGAACTGCCCTGCCTGAGTGTTCTGGGAAGTCACATGAGACCTATATCTTCCTCTTTCAAAAGAGTACAATAAGGGCCCTCCAGCTGCTGGGGACCAGGGGATGTCCCAAAGACCACAGGGCAAGCACCAGAAGGGGCTCTGTGTTCCTGGGTGAGCAGATAGAGCTTAGGAAGTCCAGTATGTCCTGACCCTCTGATCCAGAAGACTGCAGCAGCAGACATAAATATGTGGTACCTAGAGATGGCAGGGAGCTCCTGTTCAAGGCCACATGCTAAGGAGGGCATCTGTGGAGGGGTGGTCCAAGGGTTTGCATGCTTCTCAATGCCTGTGTGTGGATCACCTCATGGGAAATTGCCCCCAGGGGACAATGGTGGGACAGGAGGCCCTGATGCCAGCCCTGAGGTGGCAATCTATACAAGTCAGTCCTGGGAAAACTCATTGGCTGAGCCCTGCCCCTGCCCTATCTGAGATCCCACAGCAGCCTCTGGCCCAGGGGAAGCTCTAGTGATTGAAGGGCTCTCCCTCCTAGATCAGAATTTGGGTACCAGCAACCATACCAAACAAGACCCCCTTAGTGCACAGGATTCAGAATAATCATTCTCACTAGTGGCTGGCACAGAAACCCAGGAGGAGGGAAGCCTCCTGAAGCTCTCATCTGTCACAATTCTCCCTGGCTGTCTATGATGAGCTAATTCTAGTAGCCATGGATCCAGTCCAGAGCTGGTATACTCCAGGAAGAAGGGCAGGATCTGGGAGCACAGGAGCCACCCACCTGCACCAGGAGCAGTCCTTCACATCGAACCGCAGGAGGTCATTGAGCATTGTCTTTCTGAAAAGCAGTCAGAGAGAAGGTGGCATTGGTTAGGTCACTTTGTAAGGTGTTGTCTCTCCAGGGCCTTACAAATGGGTAAGGCACGCACTCAGAGTTGGGAGCAGCAGGAAGGACCATTTGGAGTTGGCTCACTGACCTCTGGACCTGGCCAGAGGCAGACAACCTATCAATGACCAAAGGACAACACTAGTGACTATATGAACTAGGATTGCCACAGAAGCAGAGCCAGCCTGGTCCCCACCATCAGGAGCTCACTCAAGGCTGATGTGAGGGCATGGAATGACCCGAAGACCAGTGTCATCACTTACATCCCACCCAAGCCTCCAGAATTCCCACTCCTCCACCCATCCCCTTCTAAGGCTGTAGCACTGCAACGAGATGCTGACTCGCATCAGTGGATACCCGTGTGCGTCTTTTCCATCCTCCTCCCACCTCTTCAGTTATTGCAAAACTGACGTAACAACTGCATTGAAGATACAGAAAAACTGGAAACAAACCCACTGGCCACTGGATCATCTTACAGGACTGTTATGTTACCTTGTCAGTCCAGGAGAAGAAAAATGAACAGGAACCCAGTACTCCCTTCAGACCAGGTCTCTGCAGGGTTACCCTGCCAGTTTTGCCTTGCTCAGTCTGGACCAGGTCCCCAAACTCATTTTATGGGAGAATCAGTGTTTAGAAGCTGGTATGATGTCTAGTTCTTCCCCTTCCCCAATCAACTCCCTACCCTTTGCCTCAGAAAGCCATTTCTTCTGTATTCAGAGAGTCTTTACAAAGTTGCAACCACAGGGACACAGATTTTTATCCTGATTCTTAGTGGCACTTATTAAACAGAATAATGGGAGGCTACTGTTTGAACTAAGTTCCTACACTAGGTCCCAAAAGCCCAGGCTAAATGGAGTTACTGGGGCCAAATGCCTCATACACTGAGGCAATAAGGGAATAAAGCGATCCCAAAACACACCAGTTTTTCCTGAAAACAGGAGTGTTCATTTTATCTGAGTCAGTATAATAAGGAAGCCCCCTCTGCTATAACCCCTACAAAAAAGTCAGCTGAAGTAATCTAACTTAATCAACCAGCAGCCCCCACCACCACTGTTCTGTTTCCTTGTTCTTACCTTATAAAACTCAATGTTGCTATTTCCCAGTGGGAGTTCTCATTCCATTCTGTTGAATGGAGGCTGCCCCAATTCAACACAAACAACAGCCAAATAGATGTATAATCAAATTTTGTCTAACTTTCTTTTGAAACATTGTACCAAAACCATTTCTGCTATTGCTTGGAAGTCATCTACCTGCTACGGAACACTCCTGAGGACAACAGTCCCAGTTTCCCAGCCACCACCCTATGCAGAACAGCAAAGTCTTTCCTGGCTTGGGGAATTCTTACTGAGGCTCATCCCATCACCCAACAAGCATGGATTGAGGCTTCTGGGCACTGGGATGCAGAATTGAAGGGAGCATGGCCTTGTCTTGATAGACGAGACAGATCATAACCAACACTCATATGCTTTGGGGACAGATGGAAGCAGCAATAGGTAAGGGAGGGTGGAAAGACCTTATCCATAAGGAACATTAGAAGGGAGTCACCGCAAAGGGCTGGGCAGGAGGGTGCTTGGAACAATCCTAATGCAAGGTAGCTATAGGGCTGGCTGAGAAACAGTGAGGCACAGGTATATAGGCAGGCCTCATGGACTCTTGTGAGAACTAGACATTACAAAGAGAGATAGGGAGATGCCACAGGGTTATGAGCTGAGGAGGAACGCACTCCAGTTCATATTTGTAAATGGATCCCTGGCTGCTCTTAGAGAAACTGTGGGGATGAGTTGGATGCCATGGGATTATGGCCAAATATAGTCCTAAAAATCCCACCTGGCCCAAATCAGCTACCTCAGGTAGTCTACAGGACCAAAAATTGCAGTGCCCTTCCTGGGCTTCAGGACAGGTTCTGGACCTGTGAGGAGAGACTAGGAATCATGGCAGGATTGGTCATGTGTGAACATGCAACCTCAGCACAGGAAAACCAGACACAACTTAAATGGTGGCAATCTGTGTGCATTGAGGTTTGCTCACCCCCAGAGCAGCCAGCCATTTCCAGGAAGACTATTTGCTAGGAGGTTATAGCAACACAGGAAAATCACCACAAGAAGCAAGACATGCACAGAATAAATATGAGTTGGAGAGATGGCTCAGTTTTAAAAGCACTGGCTGCTCTTGCAGAGGACCTACGTTTGGTTCCCAGCACCCACATAATGGCTAACAGGGGTCCTTTACTCCAGTTCCAAGAGATCCATTGCCCTCTTCTGGCCTCCACAAGCACTGCACATACAGGTGCACCTACATGCAGGCAAAACACTCATACACAGCAAATAAAAAAAGTTTTTTCTAAAGATGCACAGAATAAAGAAAACTGGGTTCAAAGGGCCAGTAAGATGGCTCAGCAGTGAAAGCACTTGCCGCCAAGCCTAGAAATCTAGGCTCAATCCTTGGGACCCACACGATGGAAGGAGAGAACCAACTCCTCCATGTTGTGCTGTGCACGAATACACAGACACATACAGACACACAAATACATATATAAATATATAAATTTAATAAAGACTTTAAACTGTGTTCTCCATACCCTTTGGTTACAAAGTAAGCATATGGACAAAGCCCAGGGGGAAGTGAAGGGAAAGAAGTGCCAGGCAGGACTGGCAGCAAGGTGTATGTGCTTCTTCCAAAGCTGTGTCTCCTCATTCAAATCAAGGAGGATATTACCACATACATGTACATACAGGTATATACCTCTGAATGCTGGGATGAGGGCCTTGAGGGCAGGATCCTTTCTCACCATGACCTGGGAACTAAGTGCAAGGAACCTCACAGATGGGGAAACTGAAGCTCACAGATCAGGGCTTATGATTCCAATTCATTCTCAGATCACAGTGCTTCTCAATACTAGGTCAAAACACTCAAACTCACCCATTGTCTCCACCAAATACATAGATGGCATCCTTATATGCCACCACTGTGTGCTTGCTGCGCCTAGAAAGAAAGAAGGGGTGAGGATGGTGAGACTAGGTAGGCACCCAAGGAATGGGACTACTCACGGTGGCAGCCACAGAAGTGTGGGCAGCACATCTCAACTGCCAAGAGCCACAGAGACCCTTATATTCCATCAGACCTCAAAGGATGCCTGACATAGCGGGGTCTCTTCTGACTCCCAGACACCTGACCGGGGACCCAAACCGGACACTCTCTGGTACCCTATTTGGGGTCACTACCGTGCGACTCCCGGGGAACTCCTACCAACCCACTGCCGGGTTCTCACCCTAGGACCTCACGCGGGGTCTCGCCCCTAGGAGCCCGCCCTGGGCCCTCCTCAGTACTCAAGCCCGCTCCCGGTACCTTCACGATCCCCTGCACCCCGTCTTACCGGGCACCCACGAACTCGTCGCAGGGCGGGAGGCGCCGCCAGCGATGCACTGTTTCGAAGGGCCCGAAGTTGAGCGTCAGGTACTCGACACTGTCTGAGCAACTGTGGTCGAAGTCCACACTCGGGGCCACCTTGGAGCGCACCCCTCCTGCCAGAGCCCCAGCCCCGATGGCTCCCCCCGAGCCGCCCGGCCCAGCCATCCCGAGTGCAGGCCGGATGGGCCGCCGGGGCTGCAGGACTCACGGCCACCGCCCGGGCCGCACGGAGGGACCACATTTCCCGGAGAACCCTGCGCCAACGGCGTAGCACTTCCGGCTAGCACCCGCTTAAGCACTTCCCGGCAAGCCTCGCGGCTCGGAGACACGGCGGGTGGGCGAGGAGCTGGGTGGTGTGCGGAGGGCTAGCTCTGTTCCAGAGAGCAGACCCCGGACATCGGGCTCCGAGCTCTCGGATGCTTTGTACTCGGGCTTTGCCATCGCCGGGATCTTACGTTTCCGGCTCGCAGGCGACGCAACCATCCACTTTCTGCTTTCTCCCCTAGTCCTGGCCCCGCTGCTCCCCTTCTCCGGTTGGCAGTCTTATTGCCTGGGAATCTTCATGGTGGGGAGCCTCTGGGTTGTCTTTCCTACTTAAGAGCAGGGTCTTCCTTTTCGTTTTATTTCCAGGGCCCTACGCATGCTAGGCCATCTGTCTACCAATGACCTATGCCATAACCATTATTGTTATTTGCTTTGTTTTTTGAGCAGGGCTTCCCTGCGGTTCCAGCTGACCTGGAACTCACTTTGTAGACTAGGCAGGCCTGGATTTCCCCCTGCCTCTGCCTCTGTCTCGCCTCCCAAGTGCTGGAACTAAAGACATGTACTACCACGCTCAGCCGCATAACCTTATTTTAAGTTGTAGTTTGACACAGGTTGTCTTCGCTTCACCTGTGAAATGAGGATTCAGATTGCTCAGGCAAAAGGCCACGAGTCGTGAAAGAAGATATAAAGCTATTTTTTTTTTTTTAGTTTTTGTCATAGCTTACCCCTTATTTTCCTTGAATTAGTGGATACGTGTATAAAAATGTAATTGATAATTCAAGTGTAAAACCCTAGGGACTAGAGAAATGGCTCAGCTGGCAAGAGCACTGGCTGATCTTGCAGAAAACCTCAATAGGTCCCCAGCATCCACGACCTGACTCTCTCTTCTGGCCTCCGTGGGAACTCCATATATATGCAGACAAAACACTCATATACATAAATTTTTTTTTAAATTTGTTTAACCTGTAAGCAAAACTCCAGCAGAATGACTGACTTTAGAAGTTCATTGAGATATAAAGATTGGAACTGGGCAAGTGTTTGAGTGGCTGCATTAATTTAGCTGTATGAGTTCATTAGAAGAAAGTGATTTTTTTTTTTTTTTTTTTGGTCTTTTTGAGACAGGGTCTCCCTGTGGCCCCAGCTGTCCTGGAATTCATTATGTAGACCAGGCTGGCCTTGAACTCACAAAGATCCACCTGCCTCTGCCTCGCTAGTGCTGGGATTAAAGGTGTGCACCACCACACCCAGCAGAAGAAAGTGATTCTTATTTTAAAAAAGAACATGCACTCAGGTTGCTGTGAGAAGAATGGAGTCTGCCTCAGGGCCAGCTCCTACATCTCTTAAGTGTCCATGAAGCCTAAGCTTAAACTCATGACCCTCCTGCCTCCACTTCCTAAGTGCTATTACTGGTGTCCACAACCATGCCTGTCTCTTGAGTGTTGGTCTCATTACACTGGGACACAGATCTGCAAATATGTGCATTTTAATCTTAAGGTAATGTTGCAGGGTCCTGCAAGGAAAACAGTGCCAAGAAAGGGAAAACAGGCAGAGCCTATCCTGCCTCCAGAGCCAGCTGTCAATGACAGCTGAAGCCTTGGATGAGGAGCATCTTCTGGAGGCAGCAGTAGCCTTTTTGGAGGGGAGCCAGGCAGTACAAAGCAGCAAGCCTTGGGAGGGCTCAGACTGTACCCTGGGGAATCCTGGGAAATTGGAGATTGGCACCTGCCCCCAGGGCTTGATTTCTGGCCCTGGTGCCCCAGAGGCCTGCCCAAGTCCACCACATGAGAACTCAGGATCCTTTCCCTGTAAGCCAAGACATGTCACCGGTTCTGTAGGAATAAGGAGAGGATGGATCAGGTCAGAAGGTAGGTTCCCCAGTCCTGGTACCATGAACAGCTGACTGTTGAAGACAGCAGCGGGGACTGCTCTGTGTCAGAGCCTAGTGCTCAATGGGGAAATGGAATTGGGAGGGGTAGGAGAGTTGATCATTGGGCTGAGGGAAGAAAGGCTCAGAACAGTCAACAGGAAGGACAGAGGACACACGTACTTGCTGCGCAGTATAAACAACCTTTGCGAAGGCAAGAGAGAGAAACAGAAGGCCAAGGAAATCATGTCACTCATCACATCTACTCCTGATTTCCACTGTCCCCACCTTAAGGTCTACCCAGTCTCATGACCTTCAGCCCCTCAGTGGCCTCAGCCTTTCCTCAGTCCCTGGAAGCTCTTCGTACATAGGTCGTCAAAGATGCCTCTCATAGGCACCATGTTGGGATGAAGATAATGGTATCCAATGCCTCCCAGATACCATACAACCACCCCACATCTCTGTGTAGGGCATATCTGGGCGGGGGGCGGGGGGCTCCCTAGCTGTGTTTTCCCATTAAGGTTCTGCCAGGTTCAGCACAAATCACATTGGTCAGGGGTCCCAGGCTGGTTTTTGCCTCCACCCCACAGCACTGGCCCTGTCTGGGACACCTCTTTCCCTTTTGCCCTTGTAATCATGTCAGCCTATTTCCAAACCACAGTCCATGCCCCCTACTGCCTGGTAGCCATGGGAACTGAAAGTGAGGGGAAGGGCCCTTGAGGACTGTGGGGGCAACTGGCTGCCACAATAGCTTGAGTTACTCCTACAGGGGACTTCCTCTCCCATGCCCCAAGGTCTCCCACACCCACACTCACTCCACCTCCCGCTTCCGGATGGCCCGGCCTGAGGCCAACACCTCGGCCACCTTGGACACGATGGGATCATAGTTCATGCTGGCCACTGCAATCACCTCGTCGCCTCTATAGAGAGAAGGAGCCTGAGGACTGCTGGTAGTGGCCCTTCTTCAAAATCCCAATACAATTCTATCCACCTGGGATCCTTGTAGAGCTCTTGCCCAAGGTAACAGGGATGTCCTGAGCATCCACCCCTCCACTAGTCCAAACACCCATGTCAGGCTGCCCTAGGGAAGCTCCAGCCCTTGGCACCACTCAGGACTGGGGTCAGCTTTGGTATTACCTTTTTTCTACTAGTATAACTTTCCTCATTGTCAAGTTGGGTGTCAATACTTCTAAGAACTATCCAGAAGACACAGTACTGGCCGATAGGTGGAAGGCTTACTACTACCTTGTCCTCACCTTTCCTATGCAATGCCTCCTCTCCAGCTGCCTCCCATCACCACTCACCTTTCAGCTAAGCCATCCTCAGCTTGGCTGGAATGAGTATCCCTTCCCAACAGATCTCCCACTGCTTCGTGCTCCCCCTGTACCCCATTGCTCTCACTTGGTGTAAAAAGCCACAAACTTCAGTTCCTCCAGATCCCCCTGAATGATGACGTCATCGAAGCCTTCTCCATAGCCTGTGGGGGGAGGTGTGCCCATGTGAACTGGAGAAGGGGGTGGGGTCTTCATAGGCTTCCCACCCTGCCCTCCTAACTACTGTCTGGACATCCTCCCTGCTACCTACTCTTCCTTTTAAAAAAATTTAAAGCACCAGGTATGGTGGCAAATGCCTTTAATCCTAGCACTCGGGAGGCAGAGGCAGGTGGAGCTCAGTGAGTTTGAGGCCAGCCTGGTTTCCATAGCAAATCCAGGCCAGCTGTGGCTACAGGGAGACCCTGTCTTAAAAAGACCAAAAATAATTTTTTTATTAAATTGTGTGTGTGTGTGTGTGTGTGTGTGTGTTTTACATGGAGATGAAAGGGCAACTTGAAAGACTTGGTTCTCTCCTTCCACTATATGGGTCATCAGGCTCGGCAGCAAGTACTTATACATACTTGGCCATCTACTTCTCTTAAGTAGTTCCTAGACCCATCCCCAAGTCTCAACATTTAGCCCAAACTGGCCTCCAACTCCTGATCCTCCCACCTTGGCTTCCAGAGTATGGGGATTACAATACACCACCATACTTGCACCAAGCCAGCTCTTGGTTGACAACTCCTAGTGCATACTGGATCCAGCCCCCAAGATTAACTCCTACATGCCTTTAGATCTACCCCTAACTGCTGTAGGCTGTGCCCCCATGACAGGCTTCTAGTTACCCGCATAGCGCAGGCTCTTGCCGAACATGGCAGTCCACAGATAGGGTACCGTGTTGATCTCCGCCTCCTGTGCCAGCATGTTCTGGGCTGCCACCCGCCCTGCAAGACCCAGGGTGGTGAGAGCCCTAACACTTGCCTCCCTTAACACCCCCACACTGCCTGCTCTCAACCCACTCTGGGGACTCCAGACAGGTGTGAGTATTGTCCAGGACTCCCAGAAGAGGCATCTTGTTCAGCCCATGGTCCACCTGCAAATGCAGCTAAGGTACAGAGAGAGAGAGACACCTGCCCCAAGAGAACCACTTGATTGCTCCTCTGTTTGAATGACCAGTTCTGCATCTGAAAGGTTATTAGGGTTGTGGGCTGCTTCACAATTTCAGCTGTGTACACAGACAACTAATCAAACATATCAGGTCTGCAGATGGATATGGGAGCAAAAAGCTGGGGAAGGAGAAATGACAGCCACATGCAGGGCCTGCAGAGGATGTGAGTGGCTTCCCAGTTCTTACAGAATCCCACCTGACTCCATAGTTGGATACATATAAGATTCTGGACTGGCCCTAAATCCTAATTATGTTTGTCTAAGAAGTGGCCTTTGGTTCCTTATAGTTTAGCAGTAACTTTAGATCTTGAATTTGAACAGATACTGGTATCAGGAGTGGGTTTTCAATAGCAGACCTTCAGATAATGGTAAAGGCAGAGGAGAGGGAAGGTAGATATATGGGGGAAATTCCTTTTCCCGGAGTATGCATGTGGAGTTCCTCTTTAAGGCTCTAAGGTGGTTAACATTCTAATACCTGTAGCTTAGGGAGTTCAGACCATGCATATGTAGTCAATGAGGCTCAGGGAACTTGGTGGTCATCAAATGTTGGGGTGGAGAGGGCTCTTCCACAGAATGTACAATGTTCCAACTGAGTCTGGGCTATATGGCTGCCTCCAGGGATCTGCATGAAGCAGCTGAGCTCAGAGACAATCAAGCAGCCCAAGGGAGACAGGTCCTGAATGAGAAGCTGGCCTACTAAATCAATCTCTCCTCTCCTCTCCTCTCCTCTCCTCTCCTCTCCTCTCCCCCGAGGGCCTACGAGGTCGACCAGCTGTCCGCTTCGGACTTAGTGCAAATTTTGTCATCCTTCGGGTCGACCAGTTGTCCCTTCCCTCCCCTCCCCTCCCCTCTCCTCTCCTCTCCTGTTCACTTTCCATGGTAACTGCAGGTCAGAGGGGAATTCTGCCAAATATATGACCTTGGGAACAAAAAAGGAGAGACTAGTGAAAGGACAACTAGGGTTGTAGAGGGTTTTATCTGGTTAAATGGTATACCCAGAGGATCTCTGGAGATGGGCCACAGGGCTCGCAATGCGCTGCTTGATCACTTGGATGAGACTGGCCAAACAAATCACCAACAACCCTTGAATGCCTAACACACAACTTAAGACCCCAGACTGGCAACAGGCATGGGCCTGAAGGAGGCTAAGACCCTAGGATGACCTCCTACCCTTTAACTTGCCTCAGAGTTGGCCATACCCTGAGCATGAGCCATCTGCCAGTGTGGGATGTTCACTTTCCGGTTATTCCTCCAGGCAAGGGGAAAGGTGACGGCATCACCAGCAGCAAACACACCTGGGATGTTGGTCTGCATCATCTGTGGGGGAAGAGGCCAGGGCTCCATGAGTGGGACACGGGACTGACTTGGACCTGTAGCCACACAGCCCACCCAACACTCTGCCCATCTCATCCAGGCCCACCTTGTTGACAGGGATGAAACCTCGGGAATCCAGACCAATGCCACTCTGCCGCAGGAAGCCTGTGGCAGGCACCGCACCTAACAAGACAAAAGCACACATCCACACCCTGTTATCACCTTTCTCCTGCTTCATCTCTTTCCATTCCTGCTATATTCACCCGAGATTAGTCACCCACAGGCTGCCCACCTGAGGCCTTCATGCTTTCTTCGCCCCTGGGCCCCCACCCACAGGCTCTGTGCTCAGGAACTGCTTGCTCCAAGAAGTGCTACAGAACTCTCCCAATGGGGATCTGCAGGCCATGTTTCTCCAACCCCATGTTGTCACCTCCCAGCTTTGCCCCTCCTTAAATTGCCATGTCAGCTGGCATGGCCCCATTGGAGTCCTGTCTGTGTCCTGTGTATCAGTTGGTAGCAGTCAATGGGCAACTGCTCTATGGCAGGCCTGGGAAAAGCCTTTCCCAGCATACCTTTCCCAACAGATCTGTGAAGTGGGTACCACTGGGTGTTCCCATTTTACAGATATGGAAACTAAGGCTCAGGTAAAGGTCCAAGTCATTTAGGAGCATGTGTGGATAGGTTTGGTTCACTTGTGCCCACCTGCCCACCCACTCACCAATGCCTACCACGCAGACGTCTGCCCGTAGGACCTTGCTGCTCTTCAGTACCACCTCCTGAAGCTGGAGGGAGTAGGTGAGTAAACAACCGTGCACAGCTCTTGGGCACAGGGAGAGACACAAAAAGTACAGAGAGACAGAAAAGCCCACCTTGCCCTCCTGAGCCCGCAGCTCTGACACCTCTGTTTGCATGTAGAACTTCACCCGGTTATTCTCAAACATCTGTCCAAGCAGGGAGGCAGATGGGCAATGAGTAAGACCTGGGCTAGGGGCTAGAGTGGTAACTTAAGGTACTGAGGGGACAGGCACTGGAGTGGGCTCACCTTCATAAGGGCACGACCAACACGCTCTCCTAGGAACTTCCGGAAGGGCATCTCTTCCAGCTCCACCACAGACACCGAATGGGCCTTCTCAGTCAAATAGGCAGCCACCTCCATCCCTGGGGTGGTAGGCTGGGGGTAGCAGGGCTGGCACTCTGGCTTCCAGGGCCAGCATGCCCCAGGACTGGCCATGGTGACTGACCAGCACCCTCATTCCTTGCAGTTACTCACCCAGGAAGCCAGCTCCCACAATGACGGCATTTCGACCCCGGGCCAGCCTCACCACTCTATTGGCATCCTCAGGGGTACGGATGGTGAACACGTTCTCCACATCTTTGCCTTTGCAGCTCAGGATCTTAGGACTGAGATGCAGTGTATCATCAAGGGCCCTCCATCCTGACTGATGTCCCCCTGCCCAGTGTCCAGTGAGGGTAGAAGATATCCCTACCTGCTCCCTGGTGCCAGCAACAGTTTACTGTACTCAAGCTTGAAGCCATCCTTGAACACAACTTTCTTGTTTCTCACGTCCACTGTGACCACCTGCAACCCCCACTGGGCAGAGTGAGGCCTGGGCACAGGCTTGGGCATATTGTCCACTTTTGAGTCCCACAAGATCCCCAGAGCTCAGTTAGGATGAGCAGTGGTCACAGAGTGGCCCCACAGCCTGGGCTCTTATCTTTAAACTTCAGGCCATCTAACCTCTAAGCCATTTTACCCTTTCAAGTTCCACCAGGCTCTCCTGCCCCAGCCCACAGACCATCTCATCTGAGGCTCTGTAACTGCCCACAACCCTGCCATGAAGAAGGCTCAGTGCTGGGTCTTAGGCCTAGACAGTGGGGCCAGATGGGCCCATATCACATCCTCAGCGGTTATGATGGTCCCCATACTATGGTTCCCACAACTGTTTTCCCCAGCCTGTTTCCCACCCTTCCCCCTCGTACCTGGGCCTCAGTGAGCACCTCGATGCCATAAGCCCGAAAGAATTCCTTAGGCCTGAGGGCCAGCTGCTCAGGTTGTGCATCCAGGGACTGAGGGACATGGCCAATTTGAGACAGGGCCAAATAGCTGCTGTTCCACTAGCCTCAAACTCACAAAGATACATTAGCCTCTGACTCCCAAGTGCTAGGATCAAAGGCATGCTCTACCATGCCTAGCCCTTGGGGTTCCATTTTATAGAAGATGATATGGAGCCCAGGTCTGGGTCACATGGAAGCTATAGAATAAAACTCAACAAACCCATCTCTTGGGACACCATGGATAGGCCTGGTGAGACCGGAGAGGACAACCAGGCAGACCTCCAAGGAGTGGCAGGCAAGGCTTCATATGGGCATGACAAAGACCTAGAGGGATAAGAATCTAGGCACTGCCCCATGCCCACCTTGCTGAGCTTGGCACGGTCATAGGGCAGATGCCGATCCAGTGTGCACAGGACAATCCGGTCTGAGAAGCCCTCCTGTCGTAGTGTCTCTGCACACACCAGGCCAGCAGCACCTGAAGGAAAGAATCATGGACCAAGGACCAGGTCTCTCCCACCTTCCAACCTTCACCCTGTCCCTCATCACCCCAACACCAACCTGCACCCACTATGAGCACATTGGTGCTGCCGCTGTGACCAGCACTTGGAGAGATACACTTGGTCATCACTTTTGTCCTTCGCTGCAGCTGCAGGGCCTAGGAGTGGTGGGAAGGTGAGGGGCAGCTGGGACTTGGATCCTGAGACTTCAGCCCAGCCTCATCAACTCTGCAGCTCCTCTCTCCCCTCCCATGCCAGGCTTCCTCCCATCAAAAGGCCAAGATGTCCTTCCACCCTTCCCCTTGTACCTGGTGGGATTCAGTGATCCAAGTCACCCTGTTACCTGCTTACTGGCCCGGACATACACCTTCTCCTTCTCAATCTTCACCTGCAAGGGCAGTATTGCACGACTCTGAGGTGGTCCATCCAGTCCTTGACTCCACACCCCACACTCTCACCATACCGATCTCTCGGCCATACCTGGAACTTGTGCAGACTGTCCAGGCCTGGGAAATCCTCTAGGTCCCCAGTACTGATGTTGAAGCAGGCACCATGCCAAGGGCAGCGCACCCGGCCCCTGGACAGCACACCTGGAAGAGGCAGTGCCAAGCTGGAACCATGCCCAGAGGCTGTTCTCCAGGATCCTTTAGTCCTGGTTCCTGCTGGGTCTCTCCAAAGGCCAGGGGACCCATTAATAGATAAGAACCCTAGGGCTATACTGTATGGGAATGGATGGTCTTGCCCTGCCTCCCATGTATATCCCACCCTTTCTTACCTTTCACCAGGGGTGCCCCATAGTGAGGACACTTGTGGCCCAGGGCATGGAATTCCCCGTTCTCCTTCACCAGCAACACCTTCCCCCAGCCCAGCTCCACTTCCCGCATCCTGAGGAGGGACTGTGCTCAGAGTGAGGGCCAGAAGCCCAGTCATGTCCTCCTGTGGGTACTTCCTCCCAGGGTCTAGCCTTCAGGCAGCCCAGAGCAACTGAAACACAAAAGCTGTACACAGGACAGCTGGGAGACAGCTAGGGGCCACAGCCCTTTCCAGACCATTACCCCAACTCAACCTCTCATGTGTGGACTCTCCCCTGCCCTCCCACCTCAGGCTCTGCCACCACCATTCCAGCCCAGCACCCACTGGCCATTCTCGAGGTCCTTGACATGGCAGACAGTCGCCTCCACACAGTCCTGAGGGCTGGGGTAGGGTTGTGGGGCAGGCAGGCGCTCTTCAGCATGGAAGTGGCGGGCCGTGCCATTGCCCTGGTAAGCCCGGGGGCTGCCCTTTCCGCTGGCCGACAGCTCCTCCTTGCCCCGCTCCTTCTCTGGCAGCACCACCTCAATCTTGAGTTCCACTGTGGGTAGAGCAGCCATGAGCCCATGGCCTCTATTCCTAGGCCAGCAAGAGGCAGCTGACTTCAATTCTGCGTGTCCTGAAGAACCCATGGCCTCCCTCGTGTTAGACAAGCACTCCACCACTGAGCTATAGCTCCAACCCAGCATCTTTTCTTCTCCAATGACAAAATTAGAGAGGAAGTCACAGAGCCTAGATTCTTTTACCCTGAGCCTTTACTTTCTCTAGGAATCTCTAGAGGAAAAAACCCTCATGCCCGAGTCCTGTATCTTCTGATGGACAAAGATGATATCCCTGCTTGGGACACAGTTGCAGCTCAATTTATAGTGAGTGAGTGAGTGATAGGAAATCTAGAGTTCACTGTTCTAAGATTGGCATGGTAGCTCATGCCTGTAATCACAGCACTCCAAAGGCTGAGGCAATTCTTCTGGCAAGAATTCTAGGCCAGCCTGGGCTACATAATGAGACCCTGTGTCAAAAAATAAGAAGAGAGGGGGCTAGACAGATGGCTCAATGGTTAAGAGCACTGGCTGCTCTCGTAGAGGACCTGGGTTCAGTTCTCAGCACCCATTTGGTGGCTAACAACCATCTGTAACTCCAGTTCCAGGGGATCCAGCGGCACCCTCTTCTGATCTCCTTGGGCATTGCATGACCCAGGTACACTTACACATATGCAGGCAATACACCTCATACACATAAAATAAAAATAATAAATAAAATACTAAAAAAATGAGAGAGAGAGAGAGAGAGAGAGAGAGAGAGAGAGAGAGATCACTGTTCTGCTCTTAGAAGTTCCCCATTAGCTTTAAATACTTTTTGTTGTTGCTTTTGGGTTTTTGAGAATCTTATGTAGCCTCAAGCTCAATATGTAGCTGAATATATCTTTGAACTCCTGATCTTCTGCTCCACCTCCCAAATGCTGTGGTCATAGATGGACACTGCCTAGGACAGCTTGAATTTTTTTCCAAAATTAAAAATAAAAAAAAAATGTAGCTTGGGGGCTGGAGAGATGGCTCAGCAGTTAAGAGCACTGGCTACTCTTGCAGAGGACCTGGGTTCAATTCCCAGCACCCACATAGTGGCTAACAACTGTCTGTAACTCCAGTTCCAGGGGTTCTGACACTGTCTTCTGACCTCTGCAGGCACTGCACTACTCAGGTACACTTACACACATGCAGGCAATACACTCATACACAAAAAATAATAAAAATAAAAATATTTTTTAAAAAATGTAGTTCGGTGATGGAGTGCTTATGTAGCATGCACAAAGCTCTGGATTCCATTCTTAGCTCTGTAATAATAATAAATATATTATTTATTTATTGATCCCAACACTTAAGGTGGAGACAGGAGGATCGGGAATATAAGGTCATCCTCAGATACACGATGAGTTGAGGCCAGGGGAAAAAAAGTGGACACAGCCTGGGGCATGACTCAGTGGTAGAATGTTGGCCTTGCATATGTGAGGTCTGGGAATCTGGGAATCAATTCCCCCACATCACAAAAAAAGAACAGAAAAAGTATAGAACATAATTTCAACTTCTATATATTTTTTTTTGAGACAGGGTCTCCCTGTAGCCTCAGCTGGCCTGGAACTTGCTATGTAGACCAGGCTGGCCTCAAATTCAGAGATCTACCTGTCTCTGCCTCCCAAGTGCTGAGATTAAAGGCGTGCACCAGCGTACTTGGCTAATTTCAACTTCTTAACATAGCTGTTCTCATCAGTCTGGGATTCGTTCAGGATTTACCAAGCCCTGGGTTTTGGGCATAGGGACTGGAGACTAGGCAGTGAAACTATCCAGGGTACATGTGGGCAGTGCTGAGGAGCAGGCCCATGGCCACCATACAGAGGCAACACAGGGCCCATGGGGCCCATTCCAGGATGGAGGTAGCTGGAGGCTGACATTTTCTTCTTTGAATTTTTCTGCATTTTCCAAATTCCCTGTGACATGCCTGGGGTATTTTTCTAATTAGAAAGAAACAATAAACAGAATTCTGAGCAGCAGTAATCTGGTCTCCCGGGCTGCTGCAGCAGGGAGGAGAACAAGGAGGAGGAGGCTAAGCTCCTGGCACAGCATGGGCCAAAGTGGGAGCAGGTGGCTCTTCTCCCAGCCCCAAGGCACCAGAACCTCCAGGTCTTTCCTGCTTCCACCTCTGAACCCCTCCACCTCAGACCTGACACCCAAGAAACAAAAGACCCAAGAACCAGCCTGGCTGCTGAGTCACACCTCCTGACCTTTGCCTGCACAGGTTGCTGGGCCTGGGCCGCTATTCCTCCAACTATGGCTAACTCACACACATCTGCCGAGATACATCTGTGGTTGCTTGAATGGGTCCTTGATCCTTGCATGCTGGGCTAAGTGCCCTCCACATCCAGGTATCCCAGTCTCCTGCTCAGACACAGGCATTTCAGGGGATAAAGGCAAAGACCAGTTCCTTGACTGGGTTTGGTGGGGAGGACACATGCGCACATAGCCACACTGGGGAGGGTGGGAGTAGGAATCCATCTTGCACACTTTATGTAATGGTGTTAGAATGTTTTTAGAAGAATTAGAAGGAAAAATATGTCAGGCTCAGCTGATAGCAGCAATGAGAACTGTGGGAGTCCACAGGAACACCCTGGCAGGGGTGCTAGATAGCCTCCAAGTCAGGCTGTTATTCTCTGCCTCCTTCCAGGACACTTCAAGGCATGTTCACAGATGTTCTCCCGGGAAGTCACTAAATTAGGAGTGGCAGCCAAAAGGAAGGTGGGGAGGAGGGCTCTGCTTACCCAGAGCCAGGTTAACCCCAGCTCCATGATCCCAGAAGCTCTTGAGACCCTGGAGTGGAGGTCAATGAGAAAGCCATGTTTACCATGGGCAAGGTCCTGGGTTCCACCCCTAGCACAACTCCTCCTTCAGCTCCCAGAAAAAAAAAAAAAAAAAAAGGGCTGGGAGTGGTAGCTGACACCTGAAATTAACACTTGGGAGGCTGAGGTAGAGGACTGCCATGAGTTCGAGGCTAGCCTAGGCTATGTAGAGAGTTCCACACCAGCCTTAGTTATCATGCAAGACCTTGCCTAAAATCAACCCCCCCCCAAAAAAAAGCAAGAGGGGAGGATATAGAACCTACAAGTTCCATAAGTGAAATTGTGTAGTAGTGGAGTTTTTTTTTTTCGTTTCGTTTATTTTTGTATTTTGAGACAGGGTCTCCCTGCAGCCCCAGCTGGCCTGGAACTCACTATGTAGACCAGGCTGGCCTTGAATTCACAGAGATCCACCTGCTTCTGCCTCCCCAAGTGCTGGGACTAAAGTCGTGTGCCACCACGCCCAGCATGTAGTAGTGTTTTTCAGGTTGCTTTGGTACTAGGGATTGAACCTAAGGCCTGTCACACATTCAGCACTCTACCACTGAACTACACACCTCAGCCTTGATGATAGTGTTTATCAATTAGCCCTGAGCTTCCTGGTAATCATGGTGAAAAAATTAAAGCCTAATAAAAGGTAGGTAGGTGACCAGATCAAGAAGTCTGTACTTCCTACTTGTTCTTTTTTTTGTCTTTTTGAGACAGGATCTCCCTGTAGCTCCAGCTGTCCTGGAACTCACTATGTAGACCAGGCTGGCCTTGAACTCACAGAGATCCGCCAGCCTCTGACTCTCGAGTGCTGGGATTAAAGGCATGCGCCACCATGCCCGGCCTCCTAGTTCTTTTTAAAAAAAGATTGTGGGGCTGGAGAGATGGCTCAGTGGTTAAGAACACTGACTATTCTTGCGGAAGACCTGGGTTTGAATCCCAGCACCCACATGGCAGCTAACAACTGTCTGTAACTCCAGTCCCAGGGGATCCAACAGCCTCACAGGTGCACTTACCTACATGCAGGCAATACATGCATACACATAAAAATAAATAAATAAATAATTTTTTAAAAAGTTAAAAAATTGTGTGCGTGTGTGTTATATGTATATGTGGATGTTTCAGGACATGTGGGAGTGGGTGTGCATGCACATGTTTGCAAGTGCATATGGAGGCCAGGCTTTGATGTCAAGTGTCTCCTTCCATTGCTCTGCACTTTTTGTTTTTAAATCTGGATCTTTCATTGAACCTAGAGCTCACTGATTGGCTAGACTGCCTCTCTCTGCCCACCCCCAACATGAGGGTTACAGGTGCACACCACCACTCCTGGCTTTCACATGGGTTCTGGGGATATGAACCCAAGTCTTCATGTTTGTGTGAGGCACCTCATTAACTGAGCCAGCTCCCCAAGCCACTTCCTACTAGTTCTGAGTTCCATAAGCAACTAGCTTAAAGTCTTAACGCAACTACCAGGGCAGGACACAAGAAGGCAAAGAGGGGGCTCAAGAAGCAGGTGCTGATGTTACTGAGTCACAGAGCCCATAGAAAGGCAGAATTTACACACAGGTCTTCTTGCTCTGGCCTCCTCACGGCCCCTACTGACCATGCCCCAAACACTCTCATGCCCATATCCCCAAACTTCCTGAGCCTCACCTCTGGCCTAACAGCTCTGGGGCCTGAACCTGTGGTTGAAATCCAGAGTACAGTTCAGAGAGGAAGGATAATATAGCATCTGCAAGTGCTTCCTGCATGCCAGGATCAGAGCCAGGCACAGCACCCCATTTTATATACATGAACATGGAAGACCCTGGCCATACAGCCAGGAAGGGACAGAGCAGATTGAGGGTCAAGAGCTCAAGTTTTAGCACTGCCTCTGGGTGGTAAGTCAAGCCAGTCAGGGGGTTGAAAAGACAGCTCAGTGGTAGAGCATTTGTGTAGCACAGGTGAGATCCTCAGTTCCAGTCCCAATACTGCATTATAATTTAAAAATAAGGGGCTGGAGAGATGGCTCAGTGGTTAAGAGCACTGGCTGCTCCTGCAGAGGACCAAGGTTCAGTTCACAGCACCCACATGGTGGCTAACAATGAACTGTAACTCCAGTTCCAGGGGATCTGATGTCCTCTTCTGGCCTTTTTAGTCATTGTATGCATGTGGTACACTTACATATATGCAGGCAAAACACTCATACACATAAAATAAAAATAAATTTTAAAAAACTTAAAAAAAATTCTTAAAAATGTCAGTCAGTTTGAGACTAGCTTGAGCAGCTACAGAGATCCTGGAGATAGAGTGAGAAGGGCAGAGAGAGGAATGATGTAACCAGCTGTGGAATGTTCTCAATAACACAAAGCCACCCACAATCAGGCTTTCTCTACCATAGCAGATGGTATCCCCTCAAATCATGAGCCAAAATTAATTTCTCCTCCCTTAAAATAAAATTAAAAAAAATTTAAAGACCAGCCAGGTATGATGGTGCACACCTTTAATCTCAGCACTCTGGAGGCAGAGACAGGTAGATCTCTGTGAGTTCAAGGCCAGCCTGGTCTACATAGTGAGTTCCAGGCCAGCTGGGGCTGCAGGGAGACCCTGTCTCAAAAAGACAAAAAAAAAAAATTTTAAAGACATAAACTGGGGTTTGGAGAGATGGCTCAGCAGTTAAGAACACTTGCTGTTCTTCCAGAGGACCCATGTTCAATTCCCAGCACCCACATGGAAGCTAACAACCATCTGTAACTCCAGTCCAAGGGGATCTGACACCCTCTTCTGGTCTCTGTGGGCACTGCGTGCACGTGGTGCACTTATATACATACAGGCAATACATTCATACACATAAAATAAAAATAAATAAAATACTTAAAAAAAAAGACATAAACTGGGCAAGATAGCTCAGGTCTATAATCCCAGCACTTGGAAGGTAGAGGCAGGAAAATCACAGCAAGTTCAAAATCAGCCTGGACTATAGAGTGAGTTCTATGTCATTCAGGGTTACATAGATACAGCTTAGTTGGTAGAGTGCCTATCATTCACAAAGTCCTCAGTTCTCTTCCCAGTACTGCATAAAACTAGGCATAATAGTACATGCCTGTAATCCCAGCACTAGGGAAGTGGAGACAGGAGGATCAGAAGTTCAAGATCACCCTTGGCTCCACAGTGAGTTCAAGGTGAGCCTGAGCTACAGAGGATTCTGTTGCTGAAGAAAATTACAAAGCAAAACAAAAGATTAAAGAGATAGAAACAGAGACAGAGAGACAGAGACAGAGAGAGAGTGACAGAATGGTAGACCAGTTCTTTGGGGTTACTGAAAAGAAACTGCAGGTGGCATCTTGTTCCCATGGTCTTTTGCCAGCCCAACAGTCCCACAGGTGTCCAGTACAGGAGCCACATGGAACCTGGTAGCACATCCCTGTCCACTTTGAGGAGGGAGGCTTAACCCAGGACAATAGTCATCATTACCCCATGCAGAGGCCATAGGACCTGGCACAGGTGTAGACAGATTGGGCCACCTCCCTGCCCCCCATACGTGGGTCACAGCTCTGTTCTCTCCTCTGAGTTCTGCCTCAGACCCAAGAAAGGGAGAAAAGTCTCATGAGTTCCAAGGTAACCGAGCTGATGAGTATCAGGTAAGGAGAGCTGAGCAAGTCAGCAGGGGTGAGCAGGCGAGGGCAGGTTGGCAGGCAAGGTGGATGGGGGTGGGTGGAGCACTAACTAGGCTCTGAAGGCCTCAGTTTCTCCATCCCTGACATATCTGCAGGTCCTGCTTCCCTGGATGTTATGACTAGGGAAGAAGGAAGGAGGGGGCTGAGGGAGAGACCCAAAGAAATGTGTCCAGTAAGGCAGATCCTAAGTCTTCTAGTATCTTGGAATGACCCTACACCTGCTTGAGCCTCCTGGACTAGGCAGGGCCAGGAATTCCTATACAAACAGAGAAGAGGCCCAGAAAGACTAACAGAACAGCTGATATCAGACAGGTGAACAGAAAAAGTAAAGACAGCAGAGACTGCCCACCCCACCCTGCCAGCCAGGAGAGGTCAGAGTGCACAGGGCCCTTTTGTATAGAGAAACTGAGACTCAAAGAGGTCACATTGTGGCTAAGGACATCCCTGGAGTCTCCCTTCTCCAGCCATGGAAGATATATAAGAGGAACCCGATATAAGATCAACCCTCTTGATTCAATTTTCCAAGATGAATCAGCTGCTCTTCCCACCACCAGTACCCAAAGCCCCAAATAAAAAGGGACTGTCACGGGAGAGGACTACAGGAGAGCCTTCCCAGGCCCCCACTCCTCCTGCCTACAGCGCATTAACATTCTGGGCTCCTGCCTAGCCTGACCTACTTTGGAGACTGACAGAGTGCAGAGAGGGAGGGGAGGCTGTCAGAGAGAAGGAGGTACCTGGCTTGGGCTTGGAGAAGCAGCCACCCATGGTGAGTGGTCTTGAGATCTGGCCTGGCTGGTGGGAGCACAAATGGCAGGTTGTCCAGCTGTCCAAGGTCTAGGGCATTGCCTGCAGGGCTGGATTCCCTATGGTCCTCAGAGATGCTGGAGCTGCTAGAGCTGCCATGCCAGCTGGAGCTGCCTTGGGACCTGCAGGGGAGATGGGGGATTGGGACCTGGCATTGATACAGGTATTGCTAGAGCCAGAAGCGGCCTTGCAGGTTCTAGGAGAGACCCACATTGAAGCTGAGAACTTGTGTGTAGGGGATCCTAGATAGCATGTCTCCCTTTGAGGCCTCACATTCCCCTTTGCATGTTGAGATGAGACCCCCTCTGCCCTAGCGTCACTCACCCTCCATGCAGCTTGCAGCTGACCCCCAGGTACCCCAGCCCTCAACTTTCCCTTTCTGAATCCCACAAGTCTGGGGCTTCTGGGAATCTCTTTTTTCCTATTTCCACCATGCCTGGGTCAAACCCTGGGCAACCATAGGCTTCCTTTCTACAATGGGAGTGACAAGGGCTTTGTTCCAGCCTTGGCCTCCACCCTGACTGGCAGCCCCCATCACCTACCTCTTTTCAGGGGAGCCACTGCTCCTTGCTCCCAGCCCAGCAATGGACAGAGGTTGCTGGGCCTTGGACAGAAGGGCAGAGAAGGTCAGGGTCCAGAAGAGTCCAGCCCCCCTTCTAGCACGAGCTGTGGCAAGGAGGGGGGTAGGGGGTGGGGCTAGGCCAGGCCACTGGTCCCCAGGGAAACCCAGCTCTTTGGAGAACAAGAGTGGGCAGCCAGCCCAGGACTGATGGGGTTTGGGGGAGAGGGAAGCCAGGCCCACAGCTCTGCCACAGCCCATGCCCAGCAGCCATAAATTCCCCCAACCCCCACCCTGGCTCTGCAGTGCCTAGGTCATGTCCCACAGCAGATGGAAGACTGGAGGCCAGGTCTCATCAAGGTCAAGCAGCATGTATGGGTATCTGTGTGGCCTCCCCATCATCCTAATAAGTTCTAAGATAAACAGGGTCCAGGAGGTCACCATATCTCTCTAGGTCCCTGCAAGGCACCCATTTGGAGGACAGAGCACCTGGTAAACAGATCACTGCAGATACGTGTCTTTAAGGCCCTAGATAGACCTTCTGGAAGATGTGGACTTTGGAAGGCCCAGGACAAAGGTGTAAGCTGTCCTGTTTACAACTGACCTCCCCACATTCCATCTCACAGTCAACCTCCATTTCCCCTGGAAGTTCTTTCTGAAGTCTAAATTGAGGTGGGACTGAGACCCTAGGAAAGAGCCAGGGGCCAAGAAGGAAGGACAGATGAGAAAGGCCCAGTCACTGCTGGCCTCTGACCTTACCTGCCCATTACAGGTGAGGAGGAACCCAAAGCCATTTAGATGTGCCATAGCTCTTTCCCCCACTTGTCAAGATAGTTTATAAAACTCGACTGCCAGCTGCCCTACTGCCCCCTCCCTGGGCACCAGGGAGCCTATGCAGAGGTCCTGGCTCAGCTCTGACTACCTCAGGCCTGCCTGGTCTCAGGCCTCACCTGTTGGGTCTGAGGTCCCACAAATAGACTAGCTTTTGACCCTGGGGGCCTAGCCAGGTTGTTCCCTCCCTTCCCAGGTGCCCAGGAGCCCACTCTTTGGGCTTCAGGCCTAGCAGGAGATTTGGTGGGCCCATTATTCCACCTAGGGTGTGCTAGGCCAACTTGGAGGCCAATCATTCCAACTCAAAGGCAAAGTTACTCGGGCCTCCAGGAGGAACTCCTGAATTTTGTGACCCAGAAGCTGCGGGTACTGAAAAGTTCTACACTGTACAATACACACTCCTCACCAGGAGCCTGTGTCCTGTCTCAGGGACCCTAAAAACCTGAGGTAGGTTTTGGGTTACTCCACTTTCCAGGAGTTCCCTGGGAGCAGGACCCCCGTGGCTCCCAGGGCCAGGGATGCTGGTCTGCCAGAAGCCTCCTTGGTTCCCAGTCCTGGGTCCCATTCTTAACCCCTAGAGTGTGTTTGTGAGGGGTTGGGAGGGAAGGTGGGTAAGTAAGTTCCTGCCTGGCCTGGGCCCTCAGTGGCTTCAAGTGCCCTGGAGACTGCTCTGGAGCACTTCAGTTTAGGATTCAAGTTTCAGGGACCCTGACGCCAACCTTCTGTCCACTCTCCGTGTCTTTGCATGTGCAGTCCCCTGGGTCTCGGAAGCCTTTTCCAGCAGCCTTACCCGCGTCGTTGCGGTTTCCCTTCCAGAGGTGGCAGGCAGCCAGGGGACCAGCACACAGTAGGGCTCCAGGGGGTCAAGCAGGGTCCTGGGGTGCAGTGGCAAGAACCGGGGTCGCTCCAGCACCCCCAGTCCCCAAGGCATCCGCCCGGATCTGAGACTCGCGAGCGCGCAGGTCAAGATGCGGGGCGCGGGCAGGACCCGGACGGCGGGCGCTCACCTGGCTCGGCGCCGGCGGGCGCTGGTGATTCGCGGGGCTAAGGCCGGCATGCAGGGCGGAGCGGGCGGGGGCGGGGCTGGCGCTGCGGCAACACTGCGGACAGAGAGCCTGCGGCGCCCGCCCCGCCCCACCGCGCAAGTGGGGCGGCCTGGGGTCACGGTCAGCCGCGCCTGGGGGGCTGCGGGGCTGCATCTGAGTCACCCGAGACTCTTGCGATCACCAAGGCACTGGGTCTAAACCATCCGGGCACCGCGGGAGTCTGGTTGGGCGTTGAATCTCTGGGTGAAATGTCCCGGAGAAAGAAAACCCAAAATTTGCCCCTCCCAGGTCTCCTAACTCCATCTCACTACTCCCCACGGGTCATATTTTATTACATTCTTTTTTCTACCTGTCACTATTCCAGGAGAACTTCCGGATTCTCTTCATGGCTCACCCACTCCAGAAAGCCCTCTGTGGCCAGTCTGCCCAGGCCAGATCACCCCTTTTTCTGGGTGTTTCTCTGTTCTGCGCTGCCCATTTTGTTTAATCTCTGCTACTGTGAGCTTGTCCAGTTAGCACTGGAGACGATTATGTGATCGTCAAACACATGAGGCCCACAGTTCTATTGGGAGTAAGCAAGCAGTGTTCTGGTCTGCTGCAACCCATTTTACAGATGGGAGGATGACCCTAGGGGGCTGAGTCTTGCTCAGGAACGGGAGCAGGGCCAGCACCGGGCACTTTCAAAGCAGTGATGGGGGGCCTCTTCTAAAGGGCAGATGTGGCCGCTCAAGGACAACCTAGCAGGAAGTATGGTTTCTAGGATAGGATGCTGCCCTCCGGAGGTCGACCTCTGGAGGGTTGCCTGTGCTAGGGCATGATGCCCTTGAATCTTAAACCACCAGACTTCCCCCAGCATTGATGATCTGTATCCCCAACTCCACTGTAGTCAGAAAAACATCCAACCACTGTGACTTCATATGCACTCTTTTAAAAAAAGATTTTATTTGGCCAGGCGTGGTGGTGCACGCCTGTAGTCCCAGCACTTGGGAGGCAGAGGCAGGTGGACCTCTGTGAGTTCAAGGCCAGCCTGGTCTACATAGTGAATTCCAGGAGAGCTGGGGCTACAGGGAGACCCTGTCTCAAAAAGACCAAAAAAAAAAAAAAAGATTTTATTTTTAAAATTTATGTGTATCTGTGTGTGGGTATGTGCACACGAGTGCAGGTACCCATGGAGGTCAGTGGTGTTAGATCCCCCAGGGGCTGGAGTTACAATTGTGAGCCACCTGGCATAGTTACTGGGAATTAGGTTTCAGTCCTCTGAAAGAGTCATAGGAACTCTTAACCACCCAGCCATCTCTCCAGCCCCATATGCATCCTAAAAAAAATAAGTTGTTGTACCCGGCATGGTGGCTCACCCCTTTAATCCCAGCACTCGGGAGGCAGAGGCAGGTGGATCTCTGTGAGTTCAAGGCCAGCCTGGTCTACATAGTGAGCTCCAGGCCAGCTGGGGCTGCAGGGAGACCCTGTCTCAAAAAGACCCCCCAAAAAAGTTGTGACAGGCTATTGCCATTGCTCTCAGTTGTCCACCACAAATAGATGGTAAGACCCTGTTGCTGAAGACACAAAACGCTTTCATTGCAGGACACAGAGAAATCAAGCTGGAACTGACCTGAAAACTTCCTCCCTGCTGACTAGGTGCTATGCAGGTTACTAGGGGAGAAACGTCATCAATGGTCTCACCCAGCACTAGACTCTGCATGTGACAACACTAACCTGCCAGGCAAGATGTGCCCATTGGTGAAATCCTGGCACAAAGTTTATAGGGGTAAACAAACACTTTTGGATTGGATTGGAGGCCTGCTCTGCAAGAGGGAATTCATGCCTGGTACTGTAAACTTAATCAAAAGCCCATGGCTTGGGGAGGTTATAGGCCCTAGGGGGGAACCTCTTACTGTTCTCTTGCTAAATGGACATGCTGTTAAACTGTCTTCTAAATATTGTTTATACCCATAGATTAGTGCTGCCCTCAACCTTAGCCAGAGAAGCGTCTCTTTGCAGTGAACAACAGTTAATGCAGAAACCTGTATCTGGTCAAAGTGTTGAGAAAAAAATGTCTATTGAGTATGCGGCCATAAATGGGATGTCCATGTCAACTCCTGTTGCTCCCTCCGAAGGCTCAAAGAGAATCGCAGAGGAGGGAATGGAAAAATACAAGAGCCAGAGGATGGGGAGGGGTGCTGTGAAATGCTGTCTTCAGGACATGATGTGGCCTTTGTACTCAGGAACTCATAGCCATTGTGGTTACCTGCACAAGACTGGCACAAGGTCTGGCCAACAACATCAGTCAACAATCCAACAGGCAGACCAATTGAACTCAATGGATTAAAACAAAAAAGTAAAATAAAAGTAGAGGACATGAAAGTAGGAGAATGTTGGAATTCTGGGGGATGTGGGAGTGGGGGAGTTGGAGTAGATATGATCGAGATACATTGCTTACATATTTGAAATTTTCAAAGAATAAAAGATAGTCTATTGAAAATAAAAATAAGGGGCTGGAAAGATAGCTCAGTAGTTAAGAACACTGACTCCTCTTGCTGAAGACCCGGGTTCAAACCCTAGCACCCACATGGCAGCTAACAACTGTCCATAACTCCAGTTCCAGGGGCATTGCATGACATGAGTGCTTTGCCTGCATGTATGTAAGTGCACCATGTGCATGCAATGCCTGTAAGAAGCCAGAAGAGGGTGTCAGATCCTGTGGAACTGCAGTTATGGACAGTTATTAGCCATCAGGTGGGTGCTGGAAACCAAACCTGGGTCCTCTCCAAAAGCAGCCAGTGCTCTTAACTGCTGAATCATGTCTCCAACTCCCCTGACCGTTTTTTTTTTTTTTTGAGACAGGATCTCATGTAGCCCAAGATGACCTCAAACTCCCTATGTAGCTCAGTACTAGTTTGTTGTTTAGTTTTTTATGGCTTTTTTTTTTTTTGGCCTTTTTGAGACAGGGTCTCCCTGTAGCCCCAGCTGTCCTGGAACTCACTATGTAGACCAGGCTGGCCTTGAACTCACAGGGATCCACCTGCCTCTGCCTCCCAAGTGCTGGGATTAAAGGCATGCGTCACCATGCCTGGCGGGATTGTTTATTTAAAAAAAAATTTTTTTTGCTCTTTTTGAGACAGGGTCTCCCTGTGGCCCCAGGCTAGCCTTGACTCAGAGATTGATCTACCTCTCCCTCCTGAGTGCTGGGATTAGAGGTATATGCCACCACACCTGGCGTTAAATTTTTTTTTATGAGTGTTTTTTGTTTGTGAGTGTTTTGTCTGAATGTATGTAAGTGTACCATACGTGTGCCTGGTGCCTGCAGAGGCCAGAAGAAGGTGTCAGATCCCCTGAAATCAAGGGTGAGTTTTAGCTACCATATGGGTGCTGGGAATCAAACCTGGGTCCTCTGGATGAGCAGTAAGTGCTCTTAACCACTGAGCCATCTCTCCAGCCCGTTTTATTATTTGAGACAGGGTCTAGCTGTGTAAGCCAAGTCGACCTTAAACTTCAAATCTTTCTGCCTTGGCTTTCTGAGTAGCTGAGATATAAGGTTAGTATGACCATAATATAGCATATTATTCATTCATTCTTTATTTATATTTTATTTATTATTTATTTATTTATATTTATTTATTTTCACAGTCCTAGAGATTCAATCCAGGGTCTTTCACATTCTAGGCAAGACCTCTACCACTAAGCTATATCCCCAACTGTTTTTGTATTTTTCATTTTGAGACAGGGTCTCACTTAGTTGCCCAGGCTGGCCTTGAACTGGCTCTGTAGTCCAGGCAGGGCCTGGACTTTCATTCTGCCTGTTCAGTCTCTTGATTCAGGTTATAGTCCTATACCAGCAGGCCTAGCTTGCATTTATTCTTTTGATCTTCACAAATAGCCAGTGGACAAGGAAACTGAGGTTCAGAGAGAGCCCCTCCCCCAAGACTACATAGCTGTTATGTGCCAGAGCTGCCACTTGAACCCTGACAAGCTCAATCTACTGTGCTGGAGTGTGATGTGATGTTGTAATGGAAAGAGAGAGACTCAGCCAAACCTTTGGAGTCTCCAGTGCAGAGTTCAAGTTCTGCTCTGTAACCTAGGCAGGTGGTAAATCCCTCTGCCCCAGCTCCCCCAGGACACGTAGGGATAAGAGTGGTACCCACCTCCAGGACTGCTGGCAGGACAAGACAGGTGCAGAGCCAGGCATGGGATGTAGGAGGTACTTAGGAAGTAGGGTAGGGGCAGCTGAGTTTGGGATGCCAGATGAAACTGCAAGGACAGATTAGTGTGTGGGCTATGAAGAGGCTGACCACTTAGGGAGAAACCTTGGCACAGGGCAAGTCCCTCAGTAACCTTGGAGCCCAGGACACTTTCCTTCAGGCTCCTGCTGCCCTACAGGGCAGAAGTTGCAAGATCTTCATAAAGCAAAAGCTAAACCCAAAGACTTCTGAGGAAAATTACCTCATGAGAAGTTCTCTAAGGTGAAGATGGCTCATGTGGATGGGAGAACTCAGGAAACCCCAGGAGGGCTGAGCCTTGGCAGCCTGAGATCCCAATCTTGCCCCAAGAATGCTTCCAGAAAGGTCACACACACTCCAGCAACCTAATAATACCAAACAGAGGTGATATGGAGTGACTGAGCATCCCCCCATACACAATGGACACCCTAAAGGAAGGTTTGGATTGCTGAGATTGGAGCAATGAGTGTGGGCCAGTTCATGGCCTGGGAGAATGGGGGACCTAGGCCACTCCCCAGCCCTGGAGCACACCTACCATGCAGCAAGCTTTTTCCTCCCCTAAGGACTCCTTGATTTCCACTCCTTTTACCCCTAGGTCTCCAAGCAGGAGTGTGCAGGATGGTCTTTTCTCAGCCAAGAAAGTGAGCTAAGGGCTGAGGATGGAGTTCACTTGGTAGACTGCTTGCCTAACATATAAAAAGTCCTGGGTTCAACCCCCAGCAATGAATAAACTGGGCTTGGTTTAAACCTGTAAATTCCAGCACTTGAGCGGTAGAGACAGGAACATCAGAAGTTTCAGGCCAATCT